CGGGGCCCCAGCCCCGGCCGCCTGCGGCCCGGCGGCCCCGCACCGTGCTTGCGGGGCCGCCATATCCTTTGATGGAGAGAGGGCAAATCCCTCTCCCCGTCTCCTCCTCTTCTGGGGAAGGCTGGCGCCTCCCCCTAGTCCTCTTCGGGGGAGCCGATGCTCCCCCATCCTCTTCTATCGGTGGGGGCGGTGGGCCTGGTATGTAATAGCTTCACGGCCCACCGCCCCGTCCGCCTCATCTGCTGTTGGCGCCGTCGGGAGGCCTACCCCGACGGCGCGTCCTCCTGCGGGCGGGGTCAGCTCTCTCCCGACCCCGCTCCGCTTCCTCCTTAAGGGCGATGACCTCCTCACAGAATGAGGTCACCGCCCGCCACTGATCCTCGCCGGAAAGCATGGCTCTCACTACAGCCTCCGGCGAGAGATCAGGGCCCACCTCGCACTCCAGGGCGTGACGGGCCCGCGCAAACACTGGGCAATGCTGCAGTGTGTGCTGCGCGGAGTCCCGCCCCGCCCCGCAGTGGTGGCATATCGGCGTCGCCTCGCGACCTATCCGGCACAGGTAGTCACCGAAGCAGCCGTGCCCGGTGAGTACCTGCGTGGTCCAACCTAACCTAACCTTTTTTTTTTTTTTTTTTTTTATCGTGGGGAAATCTTCGACAAGACGCCCCGCCCCCCCTGGGGGGAGGTGACGGGGTAGTGCCGGATTTCTACCGGCTAAAACCCCACGGCGACCTCCTCGGGCGTTGTGGAGAGGCTCCGGGACCTGAGTGATATTTCTCCGGAGCCTCCCCCGCCTCGCGCCGAAGCGCCCGTCTCGGAGGGGAGTCGAAAGGACTCCCCTCTGCCGACACCGGGGGTCGCACCCGATGTCGGCTCCATCTCGGGGGACTGCGTGCAATGACGCCTGGGCCCCCAGCCCAGGACACCTGCAGTCCCCGCGCCTCGATCTCCCTACGCGGACTGCGAAGAGGAACGACCCCCCGCCCACCCCGCGCGGTAGACCGGGCGCTGACCGCGCCTCGCCAGCTTCCGGTGCCGGCTTCACCACGGGTCCGCGTGCAATTACGCCCCAGCGGGGCGCCTGCGGCCCGCCGAGTCGTCCCCCTGAGGGCTGCGGTGGGCTGTGGTCAGCCACCCTACAGAGGGACTCCTCGGCTTCACTTCGTCCCTCCCCCACAGTGTGGGAGGGCGGCAACTCCCTTTGTGGGAGGGACACCCCACTCTCCGCCCGGAGTCACCCGGCCCCCCAGAGACAGGCGGAGAGGGCCCCCGATTGGTAACGGGTTCCCTCCCCGCCAACCTAACCTAACCTTTTTTTTTTTTTTTTTTTTTTTTTTTTTTTTTTTTTTATACGTGGAGGAAATCTTCCGAAGACACCTCCCGCCCCCCTGGGGAGGGGCAGGAGGTAGTGTGGGATTTCTACCCACTAAAACCTCCACGGTGACCTGCACTGGGCTGCAGGGAGGGCCCCGGGACCTCTTACGAACACTCCGGTACCCCCCCGCCCTTGGCGCGACTGCGCCCCATCTCGGGGGAGGGTCTAACCTTTGACCCTCCCCCATACGTGCCAACTCCGCCGACGTCGGGGGTCACACCCGACGCCGGCTACTCCTCGGGCCGCGTGCAATGACGACCGGGGCCCCAGCCCCGGCCGCCTGCGGCCCGGCGGCCCCGCACCATGCTTGCGGGGCCGCCATATCCTTTGATGGGGAGAGGGCAAATCCCTCTCCCCGTCTCCTCCTCTTCTGGGGAAGGCTGGCGCCTCCCCCTAGTCCTCTTCGGGGGAGCCGAAGCTCCCCCATCCTCTTCTATCGGTGGGGGCGGTGGGCCTGGTATGTAATAGCTTCACGGCCCACCGCCCCGTCCGCCTTATCTGCTGTTGGCGCCGTCGGGAGGCCTACCCCGACGGCGCGTCCTCCTGCGGGCGGGGTCAGCTCTCTCCCGACCCCGCTCCGCTTCCTCCTTAAGGGCGATGACCTCCTCACAGAATGAGGTCACCGCCCGCCACTGATCCTCGCCGGAAAGCATGGCTCTCACTACAGCCTCCGGCGAGAGATCGGGGCCCACCTCGCACTCCAGGGCGTGACGGGCCCGCGCAAACACTGGGCAATGCTGCAGTGTGTGCTGCGCGGAGTCCCGCTCCGCCCCGCAGTGGTGGCATATCGGCGTCGCCTCGCGACCTATCCGGCACAGGTAGTCACCGAAGCAGCCGTGCCCGGTGAGTACCTGCGTGGTCCGGTAGGTGACCCTTCCGAAGCCGCGGTCCCGCCATTCGTTGATAACCGGCAGGACCGCCCCGACCGCTCGCTGGCCGGCTGCGCCGCTCTGGATGAGCTCGCGGCGCCACCGGTCCAGGGCATTTTGCCGGGCCTGGTGCCTCCACTCCTGCTCGACCGTCGGCTCTGGCGGTGCCTCGCCCGTCTGGCGGTGGCCGCGCAAGCGCCAATACAACGTGGCGCCTGCCTCCGCCTCGTGCTTAAAAGGCACGACACCCGCCAGAGCCATCGCCGCCGCGTGGGAGACCGTGCGGTACCCCCTCACGACCCTGATGGCCATCGTCCTCTCTACCCGCCGCAGCACAGCTTGACTGCGACGGGACGCCATCAGGGCCTGGGCCCATATCGGCGACCCATAAAGGGCCATACTCCGCACGATCCCCGTGTAGAGGCGGCGAATCTTCTCGCTAGGCCCCCCGATGTTGGGCAATATCTGCCCGAGGGCGTTTGTTGCCCTTTCCAATCGGGGGGCCAGACGGTCGAAATGATCCTCGAAGCACCAGTGGCTGTCCAGGTGGAGGCCCAAGTACTTGAAGCCCTTGCCCACCTGGACTCTTGTGTCACCTACCCGGATCCAAGACTGGGGCGGTGGCGCGACCCCACGCCGAGGCGAGTAATGCCACATCGCCTCGGTTTTGTGGGGTGCTAACTGAAGCCCCAGCCTCCGGATGGTCGCTGCGACGGCAGCCACACCTATCTCCATAAGACGACTGGTCCTGCTCCAGTCCCGGTCGGTGGCAAAGATGTGGGTGTCGTCACAGTAACACCGCACACTTACCCCGTCCGGGACGGCGACCCACAGAGTCTTGTTGTACCCCAGGATCCACAGCGGCGGTCCCAAACGGGACCCCTGGGGTACACCCCTCTCGACGCCCCTCGTGTATATGCGTTCGTCCCGGCCCACATACATAATGTACCTATCCCATAGGTAGTGCCCTATGATCCTCGTCAGGTATGGGGGCGCTTCGTGATCGTTTAGCGCCCCCATTATCGTCCCGTGGGGCAGGGTGTTAAAGGCGTTCACTATGTCTAGTGAAACGCCCATCCCCACCCCGCCCCTGGACGTGGCCGAGTCGCAACAGGAGCGCAGCGAGTGAATTGCATCGATGGTGCTGCGCCCCTGTCTAAAGCCAAACTGCGACTCGGCCAGATCAGGGCCCACCAGGGATAGGTGCCGGGCGAGGCGGTCAGCTATCACCGCTTCGAACAGCTTCCCGACCTCGTCCAGCAAAACAATGGGCCGGTACGCAGAGGGGCTCTCTGCGGGCCGTCCTTCCTTCTTCAGCAGGACCAGTCGTCCCACCTTCCACTCCCTAGGGAATGTCCCCTCCTTCAGACAGGCGCTGAAGAGGCGCCTCAATCGCGGTCCAAGGACGCGCAGGGCCAATACCCAGGCTCGGCCGGGGATGCCGTCTGGGCCCGGAGCGGTGTTCCGGGCCGCCATACGTTTGATTGCCCCGGCCAGCTCCTCCTCCGTGACCCCCATTTCGTCGGTCCATTCGACTTGGACCGGCGCGGGGCAGGGGTGGTCGCCCTCGCCACGAGGGAATAACGTGTCCACCACCTGCCCCAGGAACTGGGGATCGAGGCTCTCCGTCACGGGCGGCGCCCTGGGCCTTAGTTTACTCATGGCCCATCTGTAAGGGCGCCCCCACGGATCCTTCTCCAGAGAGCCGAGGAGCTCTTGCCACGCCCGGGATTTGGCCTCTCTGATGGCCTGCTGCAGGGTTACCACTAGCACCCTGTAGCACCCGTACAGCGTTTCCTCCCTCGCTGGGTCGCGGTTCCTTCTCCGACGGGCTCTTTGCCACTGGCGTCGGGCGACGTTACAGTTACGCCAGATGTCGGCGATTTCGCCCGACCACCAATAGGCGGCCCGTCTGGGGAGGCATTTGGCCCGGGGCATGGCAACATCGCATATTGCTTTCATCGTGCCCCGGAACCACTCCACTTCCTCCCCGATATCCGCGACCGGCCCGGCCGGTTGCTCCGGCCAGGTCACAGCGAGGGCTGCGGCCATCAGCGCGTCCCTATCCAGCCTCTTCAGCGCCCATCTCAGCGGTGGCGGGCCACTCGCCGGGCGGCGGTTGGTGGTGGAGTGAAATTCGAGGCGGATGTATCTGTGGTCGCTGAGCGACTCCGCCTCCTCCACCACCCTCCAACTCTGCACCATACGCACCGCCGAGGGAGTCGCGAAAGAGAGATCGACTATCGACTCCCCCTGTGCACGTACGCAGGTGCTAACAGAGCCCCGGTTCAGCAACCGGAGCTCATTTTCCGCCGCCCAGTCGAGCACCGCCTCACCCCTCGCGTCTGTCCTCGGGGACCCCCACGATTTTGCGTGGGAGTTAAAATCCCCGAGAACGAGTGCCGGCCGGGGGTAGCAACGGGAGATCACATCTCCCACCCGGCCTAGGCACTCTTCGAATGACGCGAGGGATAGGCTGGGCGGACAATACATGCCCACCACCGCTATTTCTCCCCACTGCACCGCTACGTAGCCCCGCCCCCGTTCCATTAGTGTTGGGGGCGGGGAAAACGCGGTGCCAATCACGGCCACGGAGCCGACCTCGTCCCCGAACCAGTCGTGTCTATCGGGGACCCTGTACGGCTCCGCGGCCACCGCCAATCCTACTTTCCACTCGGCCAGGTGGTGCAATAATAGGTCTTGCGCCCTGGCCGAGTGGTTCAGATTACTCTGAAGTATGGGCCCTTTGGGCCCCATTACTTTTTAGAGGCTGCCGCCTCCGCGGCTTTACCTCTCCTTGGGGTGGCAGATCTGCCACCCCTCCTCTTCTTTGGCGCAGCAGCCTCAGCTGGCTGCTGCTGCGCCTGTTGGGGGGGTGCTACTTCCCCCTGCTTGGCGCCCTTCTTCTTCTGCCTCTGGGATTTGGGGGCACACGACTTTGCCCCCAACCGGTGCCCCGCGGGTCGCCCCAGATCTGTGCATAGGGGGCACCGCGGTGTGGCGCTGCACGAGCTGGCCTTATGGCCCGACTCGCCGCAAACGTAGCAGCGGTCGGACCTGTCCACCTCGCAGGTGCATCGCTGCCTCACGTGGCCTTTCTCGAGGCAGCGGAAGCACTGCAAAGGCCTTGCCGGCAGCGCCTCGACCCTGGCTGACGACCAGCCAACCAGGATCCTCCCAGAGGCGACGATCTTGCCGAGCGCCGTCAGGGGGCACCTCGCCCAGACTGTACCCAGCCTGGCCGGGGAGATCCTAATTTCCCCGACCTTCACTTCTGCTGGGGTACAGCCTCCAACAGCCGCAAGGGCGGCTGTAACATCCGCAGGGGACACCGAGTCATCCAAACCGGATACTCGTACCTCGCCCATTTTGACTGGGCGAGATACCCGGACCTCGGTGCCCCGAAACACCCCCTGGAGGCAACCCTCCAACGCGGTCGCCTTATCCGTCCGCCCCTCTCCTGGAATCTCCAGGACCAGGCCGCCTGTTACCGCCCGCCGTGGTCGAATCTCGGTTATACCGATGGTCTTCAGATCGACCTTTTCGCGGGCGGTGGCCATCACCTCTGCATACGTGACCTTGGCATCTGGTGCCAAGGTCAGGGTGACGGCCGCTGTCTTCGGCGGCCTGGCAGCCTTCGCCTTTTTCGCGGCGGGGGCAGGCGCTTTCTTGGGGGGCGCCTTAGTTCCCTGTTGCCCCTTCTTCGCCGCTGGTCCGCCGGTTGTTGGTGGTGGCCCCTCCTGTTTTTCGGACCTCTTCGCCTTGCGGCCCACCACCATTGCCCATGTTTCCCCCTGGGCGGCGAGGCGGGTCTCTTCCTGGATGCCCCGCATCCTCGCCTCCAGAGGCGACTCCTTTGTTCCCGCCTGGGGTGTGGCCTTCACCTGCCGCTCACCCTTAGGCTTGGGCTTCGGGGCGGTCTTATCCCCTCCAGCCCTCTCCTCCTTCTTTGGGGGCGGGTTCTCCCTACCTTTGGCCGAGAGAGCCCCCATGAATTCCTCCCTGAGAGAGGAGACCTGTTGCATCAGGGCGGCTATGCACACCCTTATGTCCCCTCCCTCAGGGTCTACCTTCTCCACCCGTCTAATCTTGGGCACGCTCTTGATTGGGGCGGGTGGTTCCATCTCCATCCACCAGGGCCCTGCCACTGGTTCTGACAGGGTCGCCCCCTCGTCAGGCCGGCTCCTCTTGTTTGCCCCCACTCGTTCCAAGAACGGGGAGGCCGATCTGATGGGCCTCTCCGCATGAGCTGGGGCCATAAAGATTGGGGCCTCGACGGCTCCCAAGCGAGCTTTCACCTCCGCGAGCTCTCTGCTAAGGTTGAGCATCTGCTCAACCTGCTTCGCCAGCTGCTCGTCGCGGAGGCGTAGCTGACGCCTCAGGTCAGCCACCTCGTCCGCTGCGCTGTCCAGCGCTCCCCTCTTGGCCATCTCGACGTTGATGGCCCTGATGCGCCGGACGGCTACTCGAAGGGACCTTTGGCACGTGCCCTTCAGGCCCTTCGAGATGGAGGCGACCCTCTCCACGTCGTCCGTGAGTTCTAGGGAGTGCGCCGCCAGCGCGGCCATCGGCTCGTAGCGGAGCTCCCTCTCCAGCTCCTCCTGCTCTGGCAGAGGGATGCTGCTCTTGCTTGGAGGGCGGGGCGGAAGGGAGCGGTCCAGAGATCGCTCCTCAGCGCGCAGCTCCAACTCCTTGCGCTTCGCCTCCACCAGCCGCTCCTTGGCCTTAGCCAGGCCGACGTATTCGCCGGTGGTAGGCGGTCTTCCCCTCCTGGTTGTGGGCCTGTCGAGCGAGACGACGGATGCGGATGCGATAGACTCATCAGAGTCATCCCCGCTTTCGCAGGCAGGAGTTCCCCTCCCCGATACCGAGGAACACCTACTCCCACGGGAGGTGGATCCTCCCCTTCTCGCCCTCTGGGGGCGGGGAGCAACAAAAAGATTGTTGTTGCCCTCCGTGCTCGTATACACGTCCATCGCTGTGTCCGTGTCCATGGTCAGAGTCCTTGCACTTGCCGTTACCGTCGCCAGTTCATCCCGTCCGTATACGTTTGGTTTTTGTTTTTGAATTTCATCCATACTTGGTCCCAAGAGTGGGTCGGTCCGTGGGTCCACCCGGGCAGAGCCGCCTTACCCGGGTAAGGCTGATACACCCGGGGGGTCGCCAAGTACCCCGGGGTTGGCCGCTACCGACTGATGCACCCATCAGCCACCCCTGGCGCTAACTCCAGGGGCACCCTCCTCACCGCGCACCGGTGGGGATCCGAAGATCCGAAGATCCCACCGGCATCGCCCCGGGTCATCTGCGAGGCTACTCCGACAGCAGCAAGCGCCCCCCTTTTAGTCGCCTCCTACGACAGGCAGGGGTTACCGTGCCTGTATTCTATCCCCCAGTCACAGGGGAGGTTTTTGATGGGTTTTTCCTTCCCTTGGTGTTTGGTCCGCGGGAGCTATTTTATTTCACTCCTACCCTCCATGCACTCCGAAAAGTGCATGGCGAGCATTCCCCTATCCGCCACCTGGGGACGCGCCACGTCGGGGTATCACCTCCCCGCCCAGCCAGTACACTTGGCCAGGTCCGTGGAACCTTTTTTTTTTTTTTTTTTTTTTTATACGTGGAGGAAATCTTCCGAAGACACCTCCCGCCCCCCTGGGGAGGGGCAGGAGGTAGTGTGGGATTTCTACCCACTAAAACCTCCACGGTGACCTGCACTGGGCTGCAGGGAGGGCCCCGGGACCTCTTACGAACACTCCGGGACCCCCCCGCCCTTGGCGCGGCTGCGCCCCATCTCGGGGGAGGGTCTAACCTTTGACCCTCCCCCATACGTGCCATCTCCGCCGACGTCGGGGGTCACACCCGACGCCGGCTACTCCTCGGGCCGCGTGCAATGACGACCGGGGCCCCAGCCCCGGCCGCCTGCGGCCCGGCGGCCCCGCACCATGCTTGCGGGGCCGCCATATCCTTTGATGGGGAGAGGGCAAATCCCTCTCCCCGTCTCCTCCTCTTCTGGGGAAGGCTGGCGCCTCCCCCTAGTCCTCTTCGGGGGAGCCGATGCTCCCCCATCCTCTTCTATCGGTGGGGGCGGTGGGCCTGGTATGTAATAGCTTCACGGCCCACCGCCCCGTCCGCCTCATCTGCTGTTGGCGCCGTCGGGAGGCCTACCCCGACGGCGCGTCCTCCTGCGGGCGGGGTCAGCTCTCTCCCGACCCCGCTCCGCTTCCTCCTTAAGGGCGATGACCTCCTCACAGAATGAGGTCACCGCCCGCCACTGATCCTCGCCGGAAAGCATGGCTCTCACTACCGCCTCCGGCGAGAGATCAGGGCCCACCTCGCACTCCAGGGCGTGACGGGCCCGCGCAAACACTGGGCAATGCTGCAGTGTATGCTGCGCGGAGTCCCGCTCCGCCCCGCAGTGGTGGCATATCGGCGTCGCCTCGCGACCTATCCGGCACAGGTAGTCACCGAAGCAGCCGTGCCCGGTGAGTACCTGCGTGGTCCGGTAGGTGACCCTTCCGAAGCCGCGGTCCCGCCATTCGTTGATAACCGGCAGGACCGCCCCGACCGCTCGCTGGCCGGCTGCGCCGCTCTGGATGAGCTCGCGGCGCCACCGGTCCAGGGCATTTTGCCGGGCCTGGTGCCTCCACTCCTGCTCGACCGTCGGCTCTGGCGGTGCCTCGCCCGTCTGGCGGTGGCCGCGCAAGCGCCAATACAACGTGGCGCCGGCCTCCGCCTCGTGCTTAAAAGGCACGACACCCGCCAGAGCCATCGCCGCCGCGTGGGAGACCGTGCGGTACCCCCTCACGACCCTGATGGCCATCGTCCTCTCTACCCGCCGCAGCACAGCTTGACTGCGACGGGACGCCATCAGGGCCTGGGCCCATATCGGCGACCCATAAAGGGCCATACTCCGCACGATCCCCGTGTAGAGGCGGCGAATCTTCTCGCTAGGCCCCCCGATGTTGGGCAATATTTGCCCGAGGGCGTTTGTTGCCCTTTCCAATCGGGGGGCCAGACGGTCGAAGTGATCCTCGAAGCACCAGTGGCTGTCCAGGTGGAGGCCCAAGTACTTGAAGCCCTTGCCCACCTGGACTCTTGTGTCACCTACCCGGATCCAAGACTGGGGCGGTGGCGCGACCCCACGCCGAGGCGAGTAATGCCACATCGCCTCGGTTTTGTGGGGTGCTAACTGAAGCCCCAGCCTCCGGATGGTCGCTGCGACGGCAGCCACACCTATCTCCATAAGACGACTGGTCCTGCTCCAGTCCCGGTCGGTGGCAAAGATGTGGGTGTCGTCACAGTAACACCGCACACTTACCCCGTCCGGGACGGCGACCCACAGAGTCTTGTTGTACCCCAGGATCCACAGCGGCGGTCCCAAACGGGACCCCTGGGGTACACCCCTCTCGACGCCCCTCGTGTATATGCGTTCGTCCCGGCCCACATACATAATATACCTATCCCATAGGTAGTGCCCTATGATCCTCGTCAGGTATGGGGGCGCTTCGTGATCGTTTAGCGCCCCCATTATCGTCCCGTGGGGCAGGGTGTTAAAGGCGTTCACTATGTCTAGTGAAACGCCCATCCCCACCCCGCCCCTGGACGTGGCCGAGTCGCAACAGGAGCGCAGCGAGTGAATTGCATCGATGGTGCTGCGCCCCTGTCTAAAGCCAAACTGCGACTCGGCCAGATCAGGGCCCACCAGGGATAGGTGCCGGGCGAGGCGGTCAGCTATCACCGCTTCGAACAGCTTCCCGACCTCGTCCAGCAAAACAATGGGCCGGTACGCAGAGGGGCTCTCTGCGGGCCGTCCTTCCTTCTTCAGCAGGACCAGTCGTCCCACCTTCCACTCCCTAGGGAATGTCCCCTCCTTCAGACAGGCGCTGAAGAGGCGCCTCAATCGCGGTCCAAGGACGCGCAGGGCCAATACCCAGGCTCGGCCGGGGATGCCGTCTGGGCCCGGAGCGGTGTTCCGGGCCGCCATACGTTTGATTGCCCCGGCCAGCTCCTCCTCCGTGACCCCCATTTCGTCGGTCCATTCGACTTGGACCGGCGCGGGGCAGGGGTGGTCGCCCTCGTCACGAGGGAATAACGTGTCCACCACCTGCCCCAGGAACTGGGGATCGAGGCTCTCCGTCACGGGCGGCGCCCTGGGCCTTAGTTTATTCATGGCCCATCTGTAAGGGCGCCCCCACGGATCCTTCTCCAGAGAGCCGAGGAGCTCTTGCCACGCCCGGGATTTGGCCTCTCTGATGGCCTGCTGCAGGGTTACCACTAGCACCCTGTAGCACCCGTACAGCGTTTCCTCCCTCGCTGGGTCGCGGTTCCTTCTCCGACGGGCTCTTTGCCACTGGCGTCGGGCGACGTTACAGTTACGCCAGATGTCGGCGATTTCGCCCGACCACCAATAGGCGGCCCGTCTGGGGAGGCATTTGGCCCGGGGCATAGCAACATCGCATATTGCTTTCATCGTGCCCCGGAACCACTCCACTTCCTCCCCGATATCCGCGACCGGCCCGGCCGGTTGCTCCGGCCAGGTCACAGCGAGGGCTGCGGCCATCAGCGCGTCCCTATCCAGCCTCTTCAGCGCCCATCTCAGCGGTGGCGGGCCACTCGCCGGGCGGTGGTTGGTGGTGGAGTGAAATTCGAGGCGGATGTATCTGTGGTCGCTGAGCGACTCCGCCTCCTCCACCACCCTCCAACTCTGCACCATACGCACCGCCGAGGGAGTCGCGAAAGAGAGATCGACTATCGACTCCCCCTGTGCACGTACGCAGGTGCTAACAGAGCCCCGGTTCAGCAACCGGAGCTCATTTTCCGCCGCCCAGTCGAGCACCGCCTCACCCCTCGCGTCTGTCCTCGGGGACCCCCACGATTTTGCGTGGGAGTTAAAATCCCCGAGAACGAGTGCCGGCCGGGGGTAGCAACGGGAGATCACATCTCCCACCCGGCCTAGGCACTCTTCGAATGACGCGAGGGATAGGCTGGGCGGACAATACATGCCCACCACCGCTATTTCTCCCCACTGCACCGCTACGTAGCCCCGCCCCCGTTCCATTAGTGTTGGGGGCGGGGAAAACGCGGTGCCAATCACGGCCACGGAGCCGACCTCGTCCCCGAACCAGTCGTGTCTATCGGGGACCCTGTACGGCTCCGCGGCCACCGCCAATCCTACTTTCCACTCGGCCAGGTGGTGCAATAATAGGTCTTGCGCCCTGGCCGAGTGGTTCAGATTACTCTGAAGTATGGGCCCTTTGGGCCCCATTACTTTTTAGAGGCTGCCGCCTCCGCGGCTTTACCTCTCCTTGGGGTGGCGGATCTGCCACCCCTCCTCTTCTTTGGCGCAGCAGCCTCAGCTGGCTGCTGCTGCGCCTGTTGGGGGGGTGCTACTTCTCCCTGCTTGGCGCCCTTCTTCTTCTGCCTCTGGGATTTGGGGGCACACGACTTTGCCCCCAACCGGTGCCCCGCGGGTCGCCCCAGATCTGTGCATAGGGGGCACCGCGGTGTGGCGCTGCACGAGCTGGCCTTATGGCCCGACTCGCCGCAAACGTAGCAGCGGTCGGACCTGTCCACCTCGCAGGTGCATCGCTGCCTCACGTGGCCTTTCTCGAGGCAGCGGAAGCACTGCAAAGGCCTTGCCGGCAGCGCCTCGACCCTGGCTGACGACCAGCCAACCAGGATCCTCCCAGAGGCGACGATCTTGCCGAGCGCCGTCAGGGGGCACCTCGCCCAGACTGTACCCAGCCTGGCCGGGGAGATCCTAATTTCCCCGACCTTCACTTCTGCTGGGGTACAGCCTCCAACAGCCGCAAGGGCGGCTGTAACATCCGCAGGGGACACCGAGTCATCCAAACCGGATACTCGTACCTCGCCCATTTTGACTGGGCGAGATACCCGGACCTCGGTGCCCCGAAACACCCCCTGGAGGCAACCCTCCAACGCGGTCGCCTTATCCGTCCGCCCCTCTCCTGGAATCTCCAGGACCAGGCCGCCTGTTACCGCCCGTCGTGGTCGAATCTCGGTTATACCGATGGTCTTCAGATCGACCTTTTCGCGGGCGGTGGCCATCACCTCTGCATAC